CAAGACCGTCCACCGCGATGATCTTGGTAGCCATTCCCCGCCGTAGTGGTGCAAGACACCCACCTGAAAGGCAAGAAGCAACCCAACACCAAAAAAAAACAGGAACAAATGTTATCATCCCCACATAATTATACCCGAGATATATTTTCAGAGGGGTAAAAGGATATATTTCACTTGCCTACCTTTGTTGGGGGTCACAAAAAGAACCCAGCCGCAAACACAAACCACAAAACATTCCCAAAAACGCCTAGGCACAGCGGAGGAAGGCAATTGAAAAAACCAAGACTCGCAACAAAGTGGAACGGCTGAGGAAGAACAAAAGCCAGGGGCACCTGAAACAGGGTTGGAGATACAACCAAAACACCCAAACGCTACTTAAACCAGCTTTAAAACTTTGGTCTCAAAATCGTTCCCGTAAACTGACTAACTTAAAAACCGTTGTGTCCCATCTAACCTCCAGACGATGGAGTTCCTCCGGAGTGAAAAACTGCAGAAGACAATTCATGCGAAACACCACGCGCGCCGCCACGTCACGAAGGATGCGCATCATTGCGAGATATAGAGAGGAAGCCAAAAAAAAAAACGAGAGACCGATTCAGCCAAAAGCTGCGCTGCCTTTTCTGGGTTTATGATCTGCCTCTTCTGGGTTTATGGTCTGCCTTTTCTGGGTTTATGGTCTGCCTCTTCCGGGTTCATGGTCGGTTCATGGTCTTCAAAATGCTCGTGTACCAGATTTCGCCCAGAACCATAAACCTCGTTAGATTTTTTTAATTAAAAATAAGATGTTGTTGAAACGCGTTTTTTTTTACGAAATTTGGAAGGCTTATTGGGTTTATGGTCTTCCTTTTGTGGGTTCATGGTCTGCCTCTTCTGGGTTCTTCTGTGTTCGGGGTCCGGAAGGCCCAGGGTCAGATTTGGCGCCGGACCCTTTAAAACAAGCTTTTTTTAAAGGAAAAAATTGCGTTTTGGAGAGCCTTGAAATTTGGAATTCTTAGGGTTGGGTTCGGGGTTCTGGCTTTTGAAGTTCTGGGTTCGGGGTCTTGCTTCTTCTGGGTTCGGGGTCCAGAAGGCCCAGGGTCCAGATTTGGCGCCGGACCCTTTAAAACAAGCATTTTTTGAAAGGAAAAAATCGAGTTTTGGAGAGCCTTGAAATTTTGGAATTCTTAGGGTTGGGTTCGGGGTTCCGGGTTTTGGAGTTCTGGGTTCGGGGTCTTGCTTCTTGTGGGTTTGGGGTCCAGAAGGCCCAGGGTCCAGATTTGGCGCCGGACCCTTTAAAACAAGCATTTTTTGAAAGGAAAAAATCGAGTTTTGGAACGCCTTGAAATTTTGGAATTCTTAGGGTTGGGTTCGGGGATCTGGCTTTTGGAGTTCTGGGTTCGGGGTCTTGCTTTTTTTTGGGTTCGGGGTCCAGAAGGCCCAAGGTCCAGATTTGGCGCCGGACCCTTTAAAATAAGCATTTTTTGAAAGGAAAAAATCGAGTTTTGGAAAGCCTTGAAATTTTGGAATTTTTAGATTTGGGTTCGGGGTTCTGGCTTTTGGAATTCTGGGTTCGGGGTCTTGCTTCTTGTGGGTTCGGGGTCCAGAAGGCCCAGGGTCCAGATTTGGCGCTGGGCCCTTTAAAACAAGCATTTTTTGAAAGGAAAAAATCGAGTTTTGGAGAGCCTTGAAATTTTGGAATTCTTAGGGTTGGGTTCGGGGTTCCGGGTTTTGGAGTTCTGGGTTCGGGGTCTTGCTTCTTGTGGGTTTGGGGTCCAGAAGGCCCAGGGTCCAGATTTGGCGCCGGACCCTTTAAAATAAGCATTTTTTGAAAGGAAAAAATCGAGTTTTGGAAAGCCTTGAAATTTTGGAATTTTTAGATTTCGGTTCGGGGTTCTGGCTTTTGGAATTCTGGGTTCGGGGTCTTGCTTCTTGTGGGTTCGGGGTCCAGAAGGCCCAGGGTCTAGATTTGGCGCCGGGCCCTTTAAAACAAGCATTTTTTGAAAGGAAAAAATCGAGTTTTGGAGAGCCTTGAAATTTTGGAATTCTTAGGGTTGGGTTCGGGGTTCCGGGTTTTAGAGTTCTGGGTTCGGGGTCTTGCTTCTTCTGGGTTCGGGGTCCAGAAGGCCCAAGGTCCAGATTTGGCGCCGGACCCTTTAAAATAAGCATTTTTTGAAAGGAAAAAATCGAGTTTTGGAAAGCCTTGAAATTTTGGAATTTTTAGATTTGGGTTCGGGGTTCTGGCTTTTGGAATTCTGGGTTCGGGGTCTTGCTTCTTTCTTCCGGGTCCACAAAGCCCAGGGTCCAGATTTGGCGCCGGACCCTTTAAAACAAGCATTTTTTGAAAGGAAAAAATCGAGTTTTGGAACGCCTTGAAATTTTTGGAATTCTTAGGGTTGGGTTCGGGGATCTGGCTTTTGGAGTTCTGGGTTCGGGGTCTTGCTTCTTCTGGGTTCGGGGTCCAGAAGGCCCAAGGTCCAGATTTGGCGCCGGACCCTTTAAAATAAGCATTTTTTGAAAGGAAAAAATCGAGTTTTGGAAAGCCTTGAAATTTTTGAATTTTTAGATTTGGGTTCGGGGTTCTGGCTTTTGGAATTCTGGGTTCGGGGTCTTGCTTCTTGTGGGTTCGGGTCCGTCCTTTTGTGGGTTTATCCTCTGCCTTTTATGGGTTCGGGGTGGCTTCCTGTGGGTTTGGGGTCTTGCCTTTCATGTTGAGATTTTATCTAAGTTTCCAGAAAGCTTCCAGAAGCTTTGAAAAGGATCCAGAAGCACCCAGAAGGCTTCCAACAGCTATCAGACGCTCCTTCAAAGCTCTATGAATATAAAAGAACAATAAAGAAAAGTTGATGGTTTTTAGCCTTGGGTTCGGGGTGGGTTCGGGGACCCTGAGGCAGACGAAAGGTATATTAAGGTTTAAATATACATTTGATATAATAGTTCACTTAGGGTTTCATTTGGGGTTTCTTTAGGGTTTCATTTAAGGTTCATTTAGGGTTTCTTTAGGGTTTCATTTACGGTTTCATTTAGGGTTTCTTTACGGTTTCATTTAGTGTTTCTTTAGGGTTAGGGTTTCTTTAGAGTTTCATTTAGGGTTTTTTCTGGTTTCATTTAGGGTCTCTTATCGGGATTTCTTATCAGAGTTCTAAACGTTCAGATTGGTTTCTTTAGGGCTTCTTTAGGGTTTCATTTATGGTTTCTTTCGGGTTTCTTTCGGGTTTCGTTTAGGGTTTCATTTAGGGTTTCATTTATGGTTTCATTTGGGGTTTCTTTAGGGTTTCAGTTTGGGTTTCATTTAGGGGGTGTCATTTAGGGCTTATTTAGGGTTTCATTTAGAGTTCCTTTAGGGCTTCTCTAGGGTTTCATTTAGGGGTTCATTTAGGGTTTCTTCAGGGTTTCATTTAGGGTTTCATTCATTTAGGGTTTCAATTTAGGGTTTCAATTTAGGGTTTCATTTAGGGTTTCTTTAGGGTTTCTTTAGGGTGTCAATTTAGGGTTTCAGCTAAGGTGTTAGCTAAGGTTTCATTTCGTTTTTTTTTCAGAGTGTTGTTTAGGGTTTCTTTGGGGTGTCATTTAAAGGTGTCATTTAAAGTTTCTTTAGGGTTTCATATATGGTTCTTTAGGATTAATTTATGGTTTCTTTAGGGTTCATTTATGGTTCCTTTAGGGTTCATTTGGGGCTTCATGTAGGGTTCCTTATCAGGATTTCTTATCAGGATTTCTTTAGGGTTTCTTTGGGTTTCACCTAGACAAACAGAACAGAATATATAAAGCAAAAGAAAATGAAAAACAAAGAGACAGGAAAGACAGGAAGCATAGAAGCAAAGGAGCAGGAAGTAGAGCATTAAAAACACATGACTGAAGAAGAAAAGAAAAAGTAGAATAGTAGAAGTACGAAGCAGAGAAGCAGGGAGAACAGAGAAGCAGAAAAGCAAAGGAAAGCAAAAAGCAGAAAAGCAGAGAAGCAGGAAAAGCAGAGAAGCAGGGAAAGCAAAAAGCAGAAAAGCAGAGAAGCAGAAAAGCAGAGAAGCAGAAAAGCAATGAATCAGAAAATAAGAGAAACAGGAAAGCATAGAACCAGGACCCGAAAATAAATCCAAAACCTGCCGCGAAACTTAAAAAATCCAAAATCTTCCTAGCCCTCCATATATAAATAGTATATAAATAGTATATAAATAGTATATAAATAGTATATATATATATCATATACAGATATAGATATCCCCAACTGAACCCTGTCCAGTCCCATCCCAGGCCCCCGCACTTGCCAAGTCCTCCACCTTGGCCCATGGCATTTCGTGGGGCAACGTCGTGGGCGCCGCCGGATTGGCCAAGGTGGCCTTCTCCAGCTCACCGCCTGGGTGGAGTAAACCCACGATGTTGATATCCATATTACATATATAATAGTTGATGATAGTCATAATTTCTACTATAGTGACTCTATCTATATATATCTATGTATATAACGATATATCTATGTATAGTTATATATATATATAACTATATATCTATGTATAGTTATATATATAGTTCTATATATATACATATAGTTATATAGTTATATATTTATAGTTATATATATATTAGATATATATATATATGCTATTTCTATATACATATCTACATCATCTCTATATGAGTTTGTCATCTCCCCACCTGGAGGCGCAGGCTCCATGTATTCTTGCCTCGGTGCCTTGGGGGATGACCTCAGCGAGGCGATGGGGTTTTGTCCACCACTAAGAATGGGTTATTTTCAGGGTCGAACTGTTAATTTACCAGAGGCTATGTGTCTGGATTTTCACTTATTAGTGGATTACGTAATCCATGAATATCCATGAACTAATGCTAATCCATGAACTAATTGTGAATTTTGGATTAAGGATGGATGAATCATCCAAGTTATGGTACCTTTTTGGGGATCTGATTCCGGATTCATGATTAAAATCCGATGCAAAGTTGGCAAATCTTGGCAACTTCAGCGGCTTCGTCGGATGTTTCAGGCGTTGGTGGTGATAGTTGGTGATAGCATGTGTCCCCAATCAATCCCTATGAAATCCCATTAAACCCTAATAAAATCCCTATGAAGTCCTCATATGGAAAATCATCCGTTTTTCATAGGTAAAATAAACCCCATTAAATCCCACAAAATCCCGAATCAAATCGAATGAAATCCCCTGAAATCCCGTGAAATCCTATCAAAAAAGTACCATAAAATCCCAAAAAAAAACCACCCTTTTCCTCCCCTTTAAAACCCCATATGTTTTAATGGTCAAAGTGACGTGAAGGCCTCCGTGAAGGTCTCTTCATTGATGACCTCCCACAGCTCCGGAGGAGCGGGGACGGTGAGCGTGGCCGCCTCGCCACAGCAGTTCTCCATCCTCAGCCCAGCAGAGCTGTGGTTTATAGCACATGACACGACTTTATGTGTACATATAAAGTATATAAACATGTATTAGGATGATAATGATGATAATGATGATAATGATGATAATGATGATAATGATGATAATGATGATATTGATGATAAATGTTATATATATATAATTAAATGATGAGTGAAGTAACTTTTTTGTTTAAAAAAATGACCAGCAATGAAAAAATGGATGGGGTAAAGGATGAAACACAGGGATTTGTTCTATCTTAACACAAAGATGACAAACATGTATCACTTTGTCGCCCAATATCCTGACTTACATCCATTCAGCTGTCTTCAAACGGCATGTCACGGGTTTTCTCAATGGAGTTGTCTCGTCCTCCAGGAGGAAGCTCCAGTTATACACCGAGCAACCCGAAATGCCCTGGAGACAACTTCAACTCGCGTCCCTGCGCGAATGCAAGTTTGAACCGTGGAAAGGACCCTTTGGATCCCTTTGGATCCCTTTGGACCGTTTGGCATGTAAAGACTTGGGGTGTCATCCTGCGGCCAAAACTGATACAAGATGACACCATCATTTCATGATAGAGATTCCCTGTTCCTTGATTGTGATCATCCCCAATATGTAAAGGGTATGATCCCCCAACATCCCCAACTAATCATCACTCAGACCAGGGGTGGCCCGCAGCTATCATTTTCCGCTGCCTTGGGGATCGCAGCTGATGTTCCCCTGGCGACGCGGGATTGAGCGGGATTTACGGCGTTGGCTAATGAATAAGAAATCTTTTAGTGTTCCCCAAAGAAGTAGAAAATGACGGAGACACCAAAAACATCAAAAATTGTTCCCCAATGTTTTATGATGTCTTCCTGCAAGGCAGAAGAGAACGGTGTGCAACAAAAATCACACTCCTGTTTTGATGAGCTTCGATTTTCCTACGACCTTTGGGGGACCGAGGGGTATCCGACAAGTGCTCCGTCTTGAAGAGGAAGTGTAAGCTGGGTAAGCTGTGGATCTACTAGTCATCCTATATAGATAGAATACATTGGAATACGGTACGTTCAAAATCCTGAAAGATGTGTTCGCAAAAAGCCATGCATATGCTATCATGTTCTATCTACTTCTGATGATGAAGTGCCGCCAGTGTCTTCATATTCTCGAGTTTATAGGAGATGACCATTGAAGTGGCTGAAACATCCCGAAGATATCGGATGCTTTACCTTTACCGTTCGCCATGATGGACCTTGGTTGGGATGTTCACTTCCCCAAGTTGAGTTGCCGTTGGTTACACCCTCCAATTCTTGGACGAACCAGTTAAACTGGCTGATATCGCCAGACCTTCTGAATATTTCCAGCGATATCCCCTCAATCGTCCCACATCCACACTGAAAGAGTGGGATTGATTGTGGCTAATCCCATCCCTCTATACACTCTATACTTGATGTCAAACACCCCCTTTTTCTGGGTCCCATAACATGTGACTTCATCCCCTGCAGCATTTTTTTCTGGAGATGAGTGAATCATAGTGAACCATCTCCAAGCCATGAGTGAAATTCACCCATTGTTGAATACAGTATTCATCCATATTCATCCACCATTTCTCACGGCCTTTCCAGTGGACCCCAAAATCATCCAGTGGATCCCGTCCTCAAGCCCTGATCGTCCAGGGTGACCTCACAGAAACGGGAAATCTATGGAAACATGGTGGAAATTTCTATGGATTTTTCCATGATCTTTACATATGAAATGATGCTGGAAATATTAAATTTAATGGAAACAAATTAAATAGATTAGTACCTTTCAAAGCTGGATCTTTCAGAATCTATCAGATATTGGCATATTGGCCATTGCCATCCATTGCCAAGAATTCCCCTCTTGGTTTCCCGAACACCCACCAGGTCCAAATCAGCCCCGCGCGATTCCTGCCACGTGAAGAGAAATAGCTGTGCCAAGTTGCCATGAGAATAATCGCTACTTTTAGGAGTGGTACCCTCTGGTAAACTAACAGTTTGCTATTGAAAATTGCCATAGAAATAGTGGATTTTCCCATTGAAAATGGTGGATCTTTCCATAGTTAAACGTTAAATTACCAGAGGGTATCATCCTGTGGGCAGAATCATCCACATCCCATACATGCCCATACCATCCTGTGGCAGCTACTGATCATGTCGTGTTGAAGATGCTGTCCTTTCTGCGTTCGTCGCAACTGGAGCAGGAGCCGCAGACCTGTTTCCTGGGACGAAAGGGGGACTCACAAGCTGCTTGACCAGGACAGGTGGCAAGCTGTTTGATAATCATATCCTAAACCACTCAGTGGGGCTAGTTTATGTGTATAATATATATATATGTATATATGTTATAATATGTATATATATACATACATATATATATATACATACATACATATATATATATATATACACATACATATATATATACACATACATATATATACATACATACGGTACATATACACATATATATGTATATACACATATATATGTATATACATGCATATATGTATATACATATATGTATATACAGATATGTATATGATTGTATATACATATAGTATATGTATAGAACATATATTATCATGAACCTTGAATGGACCCAGGGTCCTACTGAAAATGACTATTTTCCTGGTGGAATTTGAGTACCTTTAACCCAGCCGGGCAAAGTGGTAAATGGTGGCGGGCTTTCAGCCAGTTCGGACCGTTGAAAATGAGATGTGCGACATCAGCTATATGGAGGTGTCCTGAAATGGAAGTACCCTAAAAACCATGGGTTCAATACTAAGAAAAATGGAGGTACCCATTGGGTCACCATGGGTTTCAATACTAGCATGATCGAATGGCTTGGATGATGACTGGGGTAGCCCTTTGTTGGGAAACCTCCATATCACAGGATCCCAACCTATACCTTCCATGAAAGTATCACCAGGGAACTTCCAAGCCGAGGCACATCGGATGGCAGTGGAGCAATGGAAGTCCATCCCCAGAAACACTGATGGGAAGGACAAGTTGTATGGTTATGTATGGTTATCTTAGCTGCCTGGGCTGTTGGTATCTAGTTCCCATCTAGTTCAGTTGTTTTACCTTTTAACATCTCCGTGGAATGCTCTGGGGCTTTCATATTCACTGTGAACTTGAGCCAGAGTTCCAGCATCAAACAGCGCAAGCCAAACTTCTGCCAAGCATCAAGCCTGGAAAGTCGCATAAAAATCAAACCGATTTGGAAAAAAACACAACTTCAGCGACACAAATTTGGTTTGTCTGAAAATAGGGTTCCCCAAAATTCCATAATTTCGAAAACAAACAATGACAACTCAACAAAATGCTTCGGAGCTTCTCATATGGTTCCCCTCTTTAAATGGCAGGTTGATGCCATTTATGACTCATTTATGACCCATGACATCCCATAACACCTGCCCAACTTCGGTGACGAAATCGGGCACCTTTTGCCCCCGCGAAGTCTCGGCGGGCCGATCGTGGCATCACATCTCCGGCTCAGAGGTCTGCGATGGTCACCTCCTAGGTCGCCAAGGGCGGATGGCATCAGTGGTCAGGACCAAAGTGGATGGCATTTCACTGCAAAATGTCTGGTGCAAATTGGGAAAAGGATGCGAATTGATGTTCGGGGAGGAATTGGTTCTCAACATTCTCCAAAACTGGTTCTCGAACCAAACATTTCGAGGAAAACACAGCAGTTCTGTGGGCCCCCCACCACTTCGACGCCGGGCCTTGATAGCTTCGTGGGACCAGTTGGGCTTCCCTCCGATCATATGGATCTTGCGATGGTTGTTGTACAAAGAGATAGCAAAATCCCATAGAATCCCATAAAATCATACAAAATCCTATAAAATCCCCTTAGAGTCTGCTGTTCATAGGGTTTTGGGCTGCTCAACTTACGGTTGAGGTGATTGACCGGCAGAATTGGATATCCACCACCACAGGTAACCAGCCCATTCCAGGTCAAAAATGGGCAAGAAGGTACCACGAAAGCTGAAGGTTTCTCATCATGTTCCCCATAAAAATACCTAAATTAGGGGATACATATACCATCATATACCATTGGTAAATGATGGTAAATATACCATCATATACCATCATATACCATCATATACCATCATATACCATCATATACCATCATATACCCCAGTTTCACAGCCATTTGCGGCCGCAATTTTCTCCCGTGAGTCTCTCGAAAACGGCCAGGTCACTCAATGGAGATGGAGGTAATCTGCTTCACCACCTTGGAGGCCAAGGTTGGTTGCTGTTGATGCTTGATGTTTGTTCGTAGCAGTAGCCATGAAAAGTTATATGTATATATATATATATATCATATATATATATAATTAATTAATATTATAGTATCACTTCAATGATAATAATGGTTCAACCATTAAAAATTATTGTGATAGCTGCTTTGCTTATCAAAAAAGAGAAAGTTACGGTCCAACCACTGCCACATCCAGCTGCATCGCCCGGACATCAGAGGGCGAGTGCAAGTCGATCAGGCGCTTGTGGATTCGCATCTCCCATCGGTCAAAGGTGTTGGTTCCTGACCAAAAAGGGACGAAAAGTGAGGGCCATAGGAATTTTAAGGCTCCCCTGTTGGGTGTGTATCCAAGAAAAAATGTGATAGCCAATAGCTTATATACTTATATATATATGTATTTTTATGTATATGTGTATCTAGATTTATGTATTTTATGTATATACGACTTAAAAATCCTTTAAATACAACTGCAGTCTTACAACAATTGTGGTTTTGAGTTACGTACGATTCCTGCGAAGTACATCCAATTGGAAGAAGTGCTTCTGTGTGTTGGTTTCCTGTCTGGTTCGTATGAGATCGCAGCAACTATCAACCAGGATCATCATGATTAATGGCACACACATGTATATATATATAATTATTTAATTATTTACCAACCATATCGGGAATTTGTTATGGGTATATGCTGTGGGATATATAACCAATTTGCTATGTTTTTGTCCGATTTGTTTTAAGGGTATTGCCAGTTTTATGATCACCTTGTACCGCCACGTGTTTTTGAAGTCTTTCAAACAGTCCTCAAACAGAAAAACAAGGTAAAAAAACAAACAAAGTTTTCCGAAACATCTCAAATCAAAACATGCGAAAGCTGTGAGTCGTTTGGACCTGTCTTGGGGGTGTACAGTCTCAGATCTAAGTCGTTGTATAACCACCTTTTACCCCAGTTATGTCCCAATTTATGGGCGTAATAAAATCCCAGGGTTGTACCCATTAAAACGTCCCCCCTGGCCCCTGCCATCTGACCTTCTCCACAAGGTGACTTTCGAACCATGAGGCGCAAAATCTTCGTGGGAAGACCTTGGGATGCGAAGGAGGGGTGACGGGGCCTCAATTTCCACTGGAAATGAGAATGGGCCTCACTGCGAAGGACTCATGATTTCTTGGACTGTTATGTCGACTCATCGTGATTTTCAATTTAATCTTTCTTGATCTTTGGTGTTTTTTCCCCTGTGGATAAATCAGCAAGAGCTAAGAGCAATAGTCAACTCCCATGGCGCCGAGTCCTCAACGAGTCGGACCTGCCACCTTCAAGTCCTGGCCGAAAACAGCGGGTTACAACCCAAAGTTTGTAGCATTTCACCAAAATGTAAAGGACAACACTGCGCAAATGGGCCTGAGTTAAATACCCTTTGTTCAACCTATTAGGTTGAACCACAATAGATCATATTTCACCGAAAAATGACATTCGGAGATGCCTTTTCCATCTTCGCAAATGAACCTCTGGAGGTTCCAGTCTCTGGTTTCCCATCAAATATGCAAAACCAGCAAGCCCCAAAATTGTCCCGCAAAAATGCTCCCTCCACCCCAAACCACCAGTTCATCTTTTCGTTGAATCTTGAAAATCTACGGAGGAAACAGAAGGGAAGAAAAAATTGGAACATTTAAACTTAAACAAAAAAACACAAGAAAGGTGGACTCGACTCATATCAGCAGTGTTCAAAACCCTATGTCGTCCCTTGCAAAACTGGTTGAGAACGAGATTCCCCCTATATTTCATGGATTGCGATCATCCCCAAAGTTGGATATACATATATATATATATTGTATAATGTATATATATATTGTATATTATAGATATAATATAGATATAATATAGATATAATATAGATATAATATAGATATAATATAGATATAATATAGATATAATATAGATATAATATAGATATAATATAGATATAATATAGATATAATATAGATATAATATAGATATAATATGTGGAGAGTATAATCCTCCAACGAATCAACCAGGAGATCGAAGCAATGCCTTGGCTTTGGCGCCGGTGACCAGGTCGCTGCAGACCTTCTCCAGTGCCTTCACCTCACAAGGTGGGCAGAAATGACTCAAGGATTGCTATAAATTGGAAATAATATTAGTTGAGTAACTATTATATATTAATAGTGGTAATATAATAGTAACTATATATTGGTAATATAGATAGATACCCTATTATTAGATATTAGTTACTAGTTGATATATCAATAATTGACTGATAAAAAAAATAGTTGATATATAAATAGTTGATATTAGATAATGATAATTTCAAAAAAATACTGATATATCAATAGTTTATCGATAATAGATATCAATTGAACATATATAGTTGAACATCTATAATATAGGGATATTTGAGCTGAATTAATAGATTATCACCCATCATTGGGATATAGCTGATATATCAATGAGTTATTACCTGATATATCAAAAGTTGACTGATAATGAATATCAATAGTTGACTATCATGGAATGACGCATTCCAGGGATATAGCTGATAAGGCGAGGCCTGATAGACATTAGAAATTACCAAAGTTGGAATAATATATATATATATTATATATAGCTGGCATATAGCTGCAAATAACATGTTGGGATAACATACTATGTTTATCTTGGGATTTCAGGGGTCACAACTAGTTGGGATCAGAGATGGGATCTGATCTAATAGTTGGGATCTAATGCTGATCATATTGGGATGGAATATCATGTTTGATACAACAACCCGAGATAATTGTGCTACTTGGGACCACATACTGTCACAAATAAGGCTCCGTTCAGACCAATCATCATGCTTCAACGAAGTTTGTGTAACATCATTGTTATTCAAGTTCCAAAATTCCCCCAGTTCCCATCCACGGGCTGCTGGAAAACGCCCTTCTGGGTCCATTCCAACGTCGAACGAAGCGGCTCCGGTGCCAGGTCCCAGAGGGCACATGGTATGTGATATGTCACTTCTTTCTTTCCCGGCAAAACACGAGACAAAAATGACAAAATGGTGTGTGTTTTTTTCAAGACCACGAAAATCGTGCGATGTGTAACACGTCCCCAGATCAACCCTGTGAATCTGGCGGGGCCCCCACGTCACGGCTACTCAAGGTGATGCGGATGCGATGCAGACCTCAGGATGAATTGATCATTGATGAGTGATTCTGGGCCCCAGACCACACCAAAAAGGATGTCTTTCTCTCAAAAGGGAGGATCAAAAAACAATTTTACTCAACCATCAACAATGGCATTTGACCTGTGACGAGTGAAAACCCAGTTTACAGGTGTGATTTTTTTGAAGATACAATTCCATGCAAAGGTTTGGGGTTTTGGGGTCAAAACTCAAAACCCATCAAACTGCAAGAAAGGAGGTGTTGAGTTTCCACGATCGAAGTTTGGGGATGGATTTTGCAGCTTTCCTGACATGTTTGGTGGTTTTTTTTTCCAATGTTGGTGTGGTTGGCGCACAGTCCACAATTTTTTTTAATGGGTTCTATCTTATTCCCGTTTTGTTGGTGTAAATCCAGCTCATGTCATGCGTAATACTATGCTGATTAGTTTCAATTGAGGCTCCTCTAAGTCCAACCTTGGGTGAAATGGTTATAAGTCAAGACATGTCAAAACCCTGGCACCCCGGGTACCAAAAAAAATAGCTGGCTCATGAGTGGTTATTCCCCAAAATATGGTGCAGGAATTTCATAGCTTTTGACCCTTCCCCTTATCAATTTGTGTTGGCTAAATCTCCAAAACTGCAGCACTCAGCTCCCAAACGTTGCTCCTCCGACTCAAGGGATTTCACTGGTTTAGTCCTTGGGAGGGGATGGATCCAATCTGATGAGATTTTTGTTCATAGATTTAGAGATGATTTGAGTTGAATCTTGTGGTTGAGCATCATTTTTACCATCTGACTTTATGGACTTTACTTTGCCGATTTGGAATGCTTCTGCTTATATGTACTTGCGAGTTGGTTATAAATTGATGCGATAGTTGGGTTGATAGTAGAAGTACAACTGATTGTTCATAATCAACGCAGCCACACCGTACCAATTTTGAGGGGTCATTTGACTTCCCCCTACAGCAGGGAAACTTTAGAGTGTGCGGCTTTGGGATGGGAGGACCAGGAAACCTTTCAAGTTTCAAAGCGATGGCGATTTGAAGGATAGTGTAAATATGTGTAAACGTACTCCAAGCTACATTTTTCGGCTTGCAAATCTTGACCCGTGCCCGGTGCTGGGTTCTGGCACGCCATGACAACTCACGTGGGGGTTTGCAACTCACGTAGCTCGGCCCGGTTCTAGAGCCCAAAAAATGTTCAGTGCCGCGGTGACGTCATGGTGATATTCACAGTGTAGCAGTGGCCGAAATTTTGGTTGGAATCGGATAATCGGATCGTCTTCTAGTAGGAATGAAAATCCTTTGACCAGGGGTTTAAGTACATGTGTGTGGATACATATATATATACATAGAGTCATAGAGAATAGGATATACTCGGGGGTCCTATGACATAGTGGGAGAAAATCATACACAGTGGATATTCAACCACAAATCTATGATATTGGTCATGAACTCTGTGAAATCTTGTATGGTTCCGGCTCCGACCATTTGCAACCCATACCAGATCAGCAACACCTCAGGAATATCACAATTCTTGCTTGTTTCATGCTTTATCCCCACAGTTTTGTTGATTCAATGCTGTTAGATTCTCTTATATAGATCCTTTTTTAGTAATCCCCAAACAGAAAAGTAGAATCCCACTATTTAACTCATGGCAATGTACTTTTCTATTTTTTCTTGGGGGTACTATACTTAAGTCCATTTGAATCCCCATGTTGGTTAAAACCTCACTCTTGGTGATGGAGCTTCCTGGTCACCCATGTTTCACCGCGCGATGCGACACACTGTGGGGTGGCAAGAGTTGGATCCCAAATTCTATGGAGTTCTCGGAACCGAATTCAGACGATTCAGACTGGCAGAGAAAAAAGGAATTTGGGAGCCACTCACAACCACGGGCCACGGGTCGATTCGACGGGTCTCATGACGATGCCATGGGGGACACACCTCCAAAACTCGTCAGTCCGCCAAATGTGTGAACGTGCTGAGTTTGTGCCGTTGCCGAAGCCCCGAAGGCCCCGCGCAGCTTTTCAGGACCTGTGGCGATGGCGAATTCGAAATGACCAGGGGAAATCCACCAATAAAATGTTGCATCGATATGTATAGATGATTTTACCACAATTAGGGATTTCCGTTGAGATGTTTAATTGCAAGAGGACGTGTGAGTCCAGCTTGACAAAAAGGGATGGACGGAGGGAAACGATGAAATTAGACTCATTAGACGTTTGGCATCATCAACTCCTCGTGTTGTGATTCATTTTGCTGGCGCTGGGAACGCTGCAAAATATTGGCCCAGACTAACAGCTGTTCGGGTTGTTTTTGCAGTTTGTTCAAGCTGGCATCCTCCCAAAACCATTGATCCCATCCCCTCATAGACCAGTCTCAATTTGGGGTGTACATTCATATTTGTGGGTCGTCATCGTCATCATCCACATCCTATACTGTATAGCCCACGCCCTGCACTCGATTTGCGAGGCGCTCGTATGATACACAGCGACAGAGCAGGGCAAAGGGCGATGACCAGAAACGGCAGGGAGATCCATACCCTCAGGGCCGAATTGGAGATCGTCCCATAGGGTTGAATCTGAAAAATGAAAGCCTGGATGCAATGCAGTTCCCTGATCATTGGTTGAATTTCGGGCCATTTTCATACCCTCTTTTTGGGGTGGGTCACTCCTAAGCAGCCAGGTCAGCCAGAGTTCAGGTTCTCAAAGTTCACAGTTCCACTGACTTCGGACACACCAACAGCTGATGACATTCACATTTTCGCAGTGTGCATTTCGAGATTCGTGAATTGTATTTATACCCCAACAAAAAAAATTGCGTATTCCCAATGTCCATCGATTCTCACATGTAGTTCATCCGACTTCCTGGTGTTCGACTTCGCCAGTGAGTGCAACATCCCCCAGTTCCAGCGCGTTTTTTCAAACGGCCATGGCAAGGCACGCCGAGAGGTGCGTGGGACGATAGGCCTTGTAGGTGCCGCCCAGCAAGATACAGAAACCCACCATGGAAGTGAAGCCTTCCACCTGGGTGCCACGGAGAACTGGGGATGGGCCACATGGGGGAAGGTGGGTGGCATATGTTTTGTGATAAATGGAGCTACAAATGTTTCAGATATATATGTATATGTATATGTATATACACATGTGTACATAGTTGTCTAGAACCATGTCGTCAAGAAAATGCATCAAAAAACTGTTCTTTGGGGAACTTTGATGACATGTTCCTAAATGTTTATGTTTTTTTGTCGGTTGTTGTGAGAGCTTTCGTTGATCAATCAAACATTGTGGGGGCATTTTGCGCTCTTAATTATTTAGACGTTCTGAATTGTGATCTTAGAATTTGAAAGGATTCTCGAATAAAGCCTGATGTGGAAGTTCCAAATGACGAACAAACTTTAAGGTAAATCGCAAAGTATGTCATCGCGGAATAGCCAACTCAACACAATTCGCATTGTAGCATATTATATGCAACATGATGTCTAAAACTATATCAATATATATATATATACAGGGTGCCGGGAGGGATGGTGGAAAAATTTGCCGGCTGACTACGGCTGACTGCGCCTGACTCCGGCTGGCTGCGGCTGACTCCGGCTGACTTCGGCTGACTACGGCTGACTCCGGCTGACTCCGGCTGACTCCGGCTGACTCCGGCTGACTCCGGCTGCCTCCGGCTGCCTCCGGCTGACTTCGGCTGACTCAGGCTGACTCCGGCTGACTCCGGCTGACTCCGGCTGACTCCGGCTGACTCCGGCTGACTCCGGCTGACTTCGGCGGACTCAGGCTGACTCCGGCTGACTCCGGCTGACTCCGGCTGACTCCGGCTGACTCCGGCTGACTCCGGCTGACTCCGGCTGACTTCTGGCTTGTGACAGCGTAGAATCAAACATTGACTGTGCAAGCGCATGTCTGTGTGAATCACCAAGGGCAATGTGAAAGAAGTTGAAACCTGGCCATCAGCAAGAACAAGGGAAGGTGCGAGTAAAAGAAGTAGAAGAGCAGCATCAAGTGGACATGAAGAAGTTGAAAAGCTGAGTTAACAATGCGTGCGAAAGCGGAAGTGCAAGATGTTACGCGAAGCATTTAATACAAGCGAAGGAAGCTGAAGCACAGAATCAAGTATGTGCAGGTGAAAGGCTTTGAGCCGTAGCGGCAACTGCAAGTGACAGGGTGAAAGTGAAAGATGGTGAGGCCTAGCAACAACGGCAGGTAAAAGGTGTTGAAGCGTAGAACCAAGTACACGGCGCAAGTGCAAGTGACATATATTGAAGTGTAGCTGCTCAGCAACAAAAAAGAGTGGAAGTGCATATGGCTGATTTTGAAGCACAGCACACAGTGCAAGTGAGAGCGCGAGTGAAGAAGAAATCAGCTCAAGCAAAATGATTATACATGGCTATGCTCGGCAGCGGGCGCAATTTGCCACCTTTGGCCGTGCTCGGTTACGCTCGGCAGCCCTCTATTCTGCTCGGCTCTGCTCGGCTCTGCTCGGCTCTTCTCGGGGAAAGGGAGTCTTTTTATGACTCAACATGTCAACTGTTTTCAAATGTTGCACGCATTGTTTTGTAGGGAAAAGGTGGTCTGTTTTTGACAATGACTCAAAACGGCAACGTTCTTGGTATGTCCAACGATTTGCTGCGTAGACGAGGGGGGTTGTTTTCTTTCGAACTGTCCGAGCATGCCCTTTGCATTCATATGTTGAACGTCTTGTTTTGTAGGGTCGAAAGGGAAAGAAAATTCAACATTGACTCAACATGTCAACTTCCTTCAAAGATTTCAAGGTATGGTTTTGTAGGGTCGAGAGGGGGGGGTCAACTTCAAAAACTGACTCAACATGTCAGCTTTGTTCAAATGTGGGACATGGATAGACATAGCGTTTTGTAAGGGAGCGCAGAGGTGAAAATTCGGTTGGACTTGAATAGATTGGAAACTCAATATGTCCAGTGCGTTCATACCTTGAACGTGTCGTCTTGCAGCGTAAACAGTTTTTTCAAACATGACTCAAAATGCCAACTTTATTGATTTGTGCAGCATAGTGTTTTCTAGGTGCAGGGATGCGTGAAAACCGCAAAGTTGATTCAACATGTCAAACTTGTTCATATATTCAACGTACTGTTGTGTAGGCGAGAGGAGGGGGTGAAATTGTTTGTTTCAGCGCCTTCCTTTTGCCTTCAACGTATCAATCTCTCTTTTCTTTTCGTCTGAACCTGGTCCTTTTTGTGTCAGCTGTTTCCTTTACATGTCAGCTCTCCTCCTGACTTCAGCTCCTTCCTTTTTGTGTCAACCCTGTCCTTTTCGTTTCAAGTTTCAACCCTGTCCTTTCGTTTCAACCCTGTCTTTCTGTTTTCAACTCTTTCCTTGTTCGTTTCAACCCCGCTCTTTTCGTTTCAACCCTGCCCTTTCGTTTCAACCCTGTCCTTTTTGTCTTAAGGCTTCCCTTCATCGTTGCAGCCCTGTCCTTTGGTCTCAACTCGTCCTTTCTGTTTCAAACTCTTTCCTTTACCCTATATCCTTTCCTTTCGACCCTTTCCTTTTAGTTTCGATTTTTTTGCTTGGTTTCATGGAAGGGACAGTGTGTTGAAGCGTAGCGACAAACGGAAGCGTTGAAGAACGAGAGAGTATAATCAATTGTGAGGTTTACATGTGTGCAAGTGCAAGTGTGAGATGTTGAAGCGCAGCATCAAACGCAGGTGGAAGTGCGGGTGAACGATGTTGAAGCGTAGGAGCAAAGCAAGTTAAAGAAGGTCAAGCGTAGAAGCAGGTTTGCACAAGTGTAAGATGTTGAAGGGCGGCATGAAGCGCAAGTGACTGAGCGGGTGAAAGACGTTGATCTTGATGCATCAAGTGCATATGCAAGTGCTGTGCTCCGCTGCTCGGCTGTGCTCGGCTGCCCTCGGCTGTGCTCGGCTGGTCGGCTGTGGTCGGCTGTGTTCGGCTGTACTCGGCTGTACTCGGCTGGTCGGCTGTAGCCGGCTGCGCTCGACCGTGCGAAATTCCTAGACCCTCTCTCCTGGCACAATGTATATGTATACAGCATACATATACATATATAGACACATATGTTCAACAACCCAAGGGACCATCTTTTGCCCCTTTGCTCCAAGTCACCAGTCGAGATCTCAAGATGTCCCTTCGGGAGATTGAGACGACACAACTGAAGACACTCGATTTAAAAACCTGAGAACCTCAGCCGCTCCGCTAGGCGGCCAGGCAGCAGTTTGTGGAAGGAGAATTGACTCCATGTTTTCAAAAATCGAGGTCAGACAGCCAAAAAAAAAACAGCTGCAATGGATGAATGTGGACATTTTGGAACATTAATGGTAGATTTTCTCTGATCAAAGATCTATAAATCGAGTTGTCACATTTTCCATGGCATCAAACGCGTGCGCCGCACCATTGGTGCCACGGTTAAGGTCAACACATGCGGAGTGGATCGTTTCTGAACAAAAACATGGCTTGCTCCAGTAAAACACAGTTACAGTATAACATAGCAAAACAAAGTATCAATCCATATTTTCACTGGAAAGTTTGTGCCAAAATCTGGGAACTTAAATTGGGGAAAATCGGACCCTGGAAGAGATCGAAGATTCAACTGTTCTGACGCAATCTGCCAGGGCTTGATTTCAACAAAATGTGTGTCCCTTTCATAGTCAGAGTCATCAAAGATCTGCACCCATGAAATGTTGGATTGGTCTAAGAGAACCTTCACAGGAAACCAAGTGTCTATAACATAAAATACGGATGTTATTCTGCTCATATTATTCGAACATCCAATTTTCACATCGTCTAAAATACAATTTCATATATACAGTACTGTATAGAAATATACATCATATACATGAATATTCACCATTATTCACCAAACATTCTTGGAATGGAACCAGTGGAACCTCTGCAAAAAAATCTAAGATGAATCCCCAACGGCTCGGCGTCGCCAGGGCACATGTGCAGCCGAGCCCAGGGCGGCAGCCCCGGAAGCAGCACTCAATGAGGCTCCGCAGCAAACGAGCGGAGAGGAGGAGGATGCAAATCGCGAAGACTGGGATCTTCCGAATTTCCTGGTTAGGGAGGGTTAGGGAGGGTTAGGGATGGTTTCATGAAGGGTTGGGGATGCTCCCACGAAAACTCAGGAAGGGATCTTCCAAGTCTTCACTGGCAACTCGCGGCCAAAGTTGGTGACGAATTTGGCGAAGGAGAAGCGGAGGAAACAAGATTGGTGCTGGTTGTGGGCATGACTCGGCATGACGTAACAACGGAACCAAACAGAAAAAAAGGCTCATGCTCAAGGAGTACTTAGGGGAGAAAGGCGCCAAAAAGTCAGTCTGTTAATGGCACAGATAGTGGTTGCCTGGTTAGAGAGAACTTGCATCACCAGTTTCAACTCTGCGAAAGTGTAGAAGTGAAAAATGTCATTAGTTGCTCAGTTGCTTCAAAAACGATGGTTTATGGACCTGCCCTTACAGCTCCAACGAGGCCAAGTTGCAGGAAGATATGCAAACTCCGCGCGCGCAGCACAAGATGTGATGAAGACCTCAGCCACAAAAAACACCGAGTGGTCCAGTGGTATCCAGCAAACCTCGGGCCCCCTGTTGCAATGGATTTTCCGGCCAGTGCTGAAGCAGTAAGGTTCATTTTTACTCCTTGCTTGGCCAGCCAGGGCAAACTGTGTTCTAAAGGGCTAAAAAAGCGCATTCGGGTGGTCCAAATCGTTCCAGTCAACTTGGCAACATAGCCGCCATAGCCTTTCATACTTTTCGCAGGTGGCCATCCTCATTCAACTCGATTTTCGGGATGTATCTCACAAATATGTCGGTATTTTGGTCCAAATCAAAGACCCAGGCAAAACAACAAAGTTTCTCAGATGCTGAAGCCAGTTTAGGATATTTTAGCACAAAATGATATAATATGTCCATCCAGAATGATCTCAATTTTCCCAATAAATTCCAGGAACTGCAGAGTTTCCTAGCAGAGTTTCGCTCCAAAATCCCAAAATCCCTTGGTTTTGATCCGAAGAAAACACAGGGAGACACGAAAAACCAGGCTGCCGTTCGTTCCAGCGACGCCAGAACTGCCGTGAATTGCTCCCTAGAACTCTCCGTCACATGGCGGTTGCGACGACGCAGCCAAGTGATTAGCCACAGCAGCTCCTAGAGGTGTCAATCAGAAAACTGGTGCTGGATGGTTTTTTTTTGATGGTTCTCTTGATCATCCTTACTTGGTTGCTTGGTGGGTTCCTGTGATCATCGATAGTCGGTGTGAAATCGAATGAATATGCGGTAGGTTGATGGGCGTCTTGATCATCCATAGTTGGTTGCTTGATGGGCTTCTTAATCATGTAGCAAATGCATCATATTCCACAGGAATGTGAGTGTGACCTCCGATGAACAACGAATCCGAAAAGAACTGGGAGTGTTGCCGTAGGAGAAATGCACAGCACGCGCAGACCATTTTGCGCAAACATACAACTCATGTGCCTGTACGGGCGGTTCGTGCCAACATGGCCACCGCAGTTCCTGAAATGATGTGCACATGCCAAATGAGTACCTGTGCAGGAAAAGATGCAGTTGCATTCACACTGATCCGGCGTCTCCTGTGTTTGGAGATTGCTTAGGCATCATCAGTGGAAACCTGTGCAGTGCTTCACCTAAATTTTGCCACCACACCGTGCTTCCCATTTTCTTGGTTAGCACATCTGCCCACTGTTTGTCAGTTGGCAGCCAATGAATTGGTGGTTTCAAAGGCCTCTCAGGTCGCACTTCGCCTTCGCCATAGAGCGCTTTCCACTGATGTCGCCCCTCATTCGTGAGCGTCTGGCGGATAGCAGCCAGCTCAATTGCTAGCCTCTTCTCTGAGGGGGGTCTCGGCACGCCTTCTCGGTGCAAATGGTCATACAATGACTTGCAGTCGGTAAAAAGATGCAGCGGCACAAGCTGTCCTGCCAAGTTCTCCTTGACGATATTGCCCTTCATGAAAGAAATCAAGATTCCACGAAGATACAGAGCAGTTTCTAAAGCATCGCCACATGCCATCGTCTCGCCAGCAAATGTAGATCTGCATACGCGAGTTGCAGCTTTGCTCCTCCAATCGATTATGCATGCTGCCCCGTCTCGATTCGAAAGACAGTCTCGATCTCCTACCATCACAAGAGAACCAAGCTGAGAACCCATCGAGTGCTCCCCTTCCCAAGAAGGATCCACGTCCGGCACTTGATCGGCATGAACATTTCCCCAAGCCGCGTCGTGAAAAGCAAATATAGAGATGTTCTCTTCAGGCATCTTGCGCAGCGTGATCCCTTGGTCTTGATGTTTCTTAGCCAGCTCCACAATCTTGTTGGTCTGCTTGATGTCTCCAATGGTGGGACGGTTCTGAGCGCGTTGTGCTTGCGCCACAGAGAATTGCAAATCTGGCCTTGTTTGCTTTGCCAGCCACGACAATGCTCCGACTGAGCTGCGATTTCTGGCCACCAGGTCAGCGTCCGCTTCATCCTCATCTTTTGCGCCACTCGGGATCTTGATCTTTTCGACCCGAGTCTGAGCATACCCTGATTGGGTGATTTTGATGCACTCCTTGTTCACCTTATACTCACACCCAACGTACTCAAACTCGTCACTGTCCCACTCATCAATGGGGAACTTGTTCGCTAGGGCCTCTTTGAGCTTTGTGTGGATTGTCGCCTCAGCCATTACAAGCAGGTCATCGACATGCGTGAAGATCATTCCTGCCACTCGTTGATCTTGTTCACATATGATTTGAAAAGCGCATGGATCGATGTCATTCTGCTTGACTACATATCGATCACTACCATCTTCCAATACTGTAGAGAGAAGGTCTGAAGACAATTTCAGCCACCACAACTTCGGGGATGTTGCTAGACCAAACACACCTTTCACAATCTCAATGATTTGGCCTTGTTGAAGAGTTGGGATCCCTCGAGCAGGCTGCCTGAAGAACAAACCTCGAGGGGCTGTGACGCCATTGAGGAAGGCAGCCCTGATGTCCCCCACAGAAATGAGCCAACCACGAGCTAGTGCCAGCAAAAGTCCAAGTAGCACTCCATGTCGGCTCGCGGTAGGAGCATCCACATTGAGCTCCATATTTCCGAGATCAGGATCACGTTGCCCTCCAACACAAAGCCTTGCTTTTGGCTTACATGGTATGCTAGGGTCCAAACGTCTCTTGGCTCGATTTTTGTCTCTATAGAGGAATCTGGCGGGAAGAATTCTTTCTCGCCCAATCTTTTGTTCCACCTCCTGAGATTCAGCAAGGCTCAGTGGACGGACAGCACCAAAGTCCATGTGCTCCTTCCACTGTTTCATTTCAGCCTCTTGATAAAGTTTCTTCTCTTCAGCTGGTATGAGGCTCCAAGGCAGTTCTTTGTCCAAAGCCTTTTCTAGTGCTTCTCCTGTCATGTGCTTCTTCACAAAGAACTGCGGCTGTGGCGTAGATGACTGTGCCACAGACCTTTTGATGGATGCTGGCACATCGTCCAGGATTCTTGCCTGCTTCACCAGCTTCTTGTGCTGAGTCTCAATCGCTTCCGCTTTTCTCCTTCTTTCCCCTCCATCGTGAGAGGTCATGGGCTGATCTTCAATTTGCTCCAAAAGGGGAACCTCTTCGTTCTCTTCAATCTCCATGTTCGCAGGGGTGTCTGCCACCTCCTCAAACTCTTTGTCCAAGGCTTGGTTCACCTCGTTGATTGCTGCTTTGATGCGCAGGGCCAAAGATACTTCTTCATGTTCTGCAGGCCGCAAATGTTCAGCTGCGGCAAGAAGACATCGGCCACCTCGTGCTGCCCAGTAGTTGCTTCCCTCAGCCCCAATGATGGTTGCTGGGCCGATCCATTTGGCCTTGGTCTTCTTTCCAGATGGGTCAGCTCTGTAGATGTAAACCATGTCACCAGGCTTGTAGTCACGTGGCTTCACCCTCGCCCTGTGAGACAAGGCCTTCTTGACAGCCTCGACACTCTGCGTTTGGAAAAGGGCTGCACGAGCCGCTAGGCGAAGGGTATGTTTCCTGCCCATCTTCTCATCCGTGGTGATGGCGCTCAAAGTGCTCCAATCTTCATCATCCTCCATCGGTGCGAGGGACTTGCCATTGGACCCAAAGACCCATTGTTTCGGAGAAAATCCACTGCGATTTCTCAAGGTGTTGCGTGCATCATTCACAGCGCACGCTGCGTCCCATACGTCCACATCACGTACGGAATGTTCAATGCAGACCTTCTTCCAAATGTCCTTCCATGTGGAACCGAATCTCTCAGCTATCCCATTTTGCCAATGTGCTTGACCAGCGGCTGCCTTCATGGAGATGCTGTGATCAGAAGTGAGCTCCCAAAAACTGTCCTGGAAACTGGTGTCTAAGTCCAAAACCAGTTTTCCAGGAACACCCGCCCAAGAAATCCAATGGCGGTAGAAGGCCTGAGCCACTGTGTCAGACTTCCTGTCTTCGATGGGCACCACGACTTAGTATGTTGATGCTAAGTCCACCATGTTCAAGCCCATTTTGCCCGTCGACTCCATGGTGTCGAAGAACAGGATGTCAATTGCCACAGCCTCATTGAAGTCCAAAAGAGCAGCTGGTTTGGCCACCTTGTGCGGTTTCGGTTGGGAGCATTGAGCGCAGGTTTTGCACACCAGTTTCTCGGCACCCTCAATCATGTCATGGGAAGCTCCACCAAGTCGTAAGTGACGCACAAGTTCTCGCATCGGTGGATGGCCCAGATTTTGGTGCAGACGTTTCAGGGCGCCTGCAACAGGAGCGCTCACGGCGCCACGGAAGGAAATGTCCCCAGCACCGCTGGGAATTGGGTCATCTCCAAGGGAGTTGAGGATCTTCTCAATCTCATCCTCTTCGTTCTCGGCGGTCAAGATCTCGTTGATGCCAATCTTGCGGACTTCCATTTCCGCTCGCATCACCGCTTTGGCAAAATCAAGGGGATAGCCGGCAGAGTGTGACGTCTCTTGCCCTTGTACTACTTTGTGTTCGCGTTGGTCATCACACTTGACTGCCAAGACCTTTTCGTAGATGGGGTTTGAAGCCAAAAGTTTGAGAGGCTTCCTGAGAAGTTCTTTCCCATCTATTGATCTCAACCCGAATTGGCATAGATCTGTTCGGAAAAAGGACATGCTAGGGTCTTCACACCATCTGGCCAACAAAGGGTCACGCCAGATGTCACTTGTCATAGGGTTCTCCACGATCACATCACGGCGACCACCAAGCTGGAGTATCATGATCTCATTGATCATCTCCAGGAAAACCTTCTCCTTTTTCCGACGTCTTCGCCTCTCTTGTTTTGTGTGGTTGAGGCGGGAAAACCCGCACCACTCCGTGCACGGGGGTGCCACCCACACCAGCCTTGGTTTCTCCTTGTCTATGGTCTCATAGAGCTGCTGCCTGGTCTCCGCATCTCGGAGATTGTCACCATAGATGATGTCCACAGGTCGCACCACACCACGTCTTCCTTGCGCAAAAGTGTTGCTCAAGACCGCGCTTCCAGCAAAGACTTCCAGGAGCGCCGGTGGTTCACACTTGCCATGCAGCAGCTGCGGTGCAAAGCACTCCATCAAGTCCATGCCCGGCTCGACTACCAACTCATTTGCCATGCTTGCCACCACAAACGCACTGGCAATGAGAACTTGTTGCACCTTCTTTGTCATGGCCTTGAGCTTTCTCCTCAAAGGCTTCTTCTCCAACCTTCTCCGTCGCATGCCCTCCACGGCCTTCTGCCTGGGGATCATACCACCGTGCTGACCTTCACCGAGATCACAGTCGCTCTCATGCTCAACCTCCAAAACCATGACATTCTTGACATCCGCCTTATAGTTTACCTCACTGCCGAGCCCGACTGTGGCACCCTCTTCATGAAGGATGTTATACTTTGCCTCGCTGCCAAGCCCGATCGTCGCACCCTCTTCCGGGAGGATGTTATACTTTGCCTCACTGCTATGCCCGATCTCTGCCGAATTCACAGGGGTCTCTTCGGACTCCGTCTCGCTTGCATCTGAGCGCCCATGCGAGCGCTCCCCAGACCACCACGCCTTGACATTCTTGATCACTGAGCCGGTCCACGAGGCGGCAGCTGATACTTCTGACGAATCGATGCCACTTTCGTCTCCAGCTCCTGCAGCTCGTTCTTCTCTTCCTCTGTGAGTTCGGGCATCATCGCACGGACCTCGTCCAACTCCTGCTCTCCCGGCAAGTGCCTCTTCTCGCGCCCTGGTGCCCACTTCCTGTTGCTTTGGGCTGCTGACGAGATGGAAGACCTCCAGCTCATCACTGACACATCGGGCGGCTCCACCACCGCTTTCACCTCCGGGTCGTCCACTGCCGCGATGATGCCACCCTTCTTGGCTCTTTCCCGGCGTTGTTCCAGCTCCATCTTTGCACAAGTGGCATACATCCTCAGGTCTGCCCCTGAGTTCGGGTTGGCCTGCACTTCTCGCACAGCCCAATTCATGTAGTCCTCGGGTGTCTCTTGATACAGCCAGCTGCGGTACTTGCCGAAGGTCATGACATGTTGCCCCGGCGGTTGTGCTTGGTCCCTGATCAGCTTGATCAGGACCCCGCGAGTTGGTTTCTCCGGCAACACCACATTGAACTCCCTGGCCTTGGTAATTAGCTCCTCCAGCTTCATCTTCGTCAGGCCTGCACATGGGTCTGAGGCTGCCTTCGGGTATCTGATTGCTCTTTGCTCCACCACCGTCTGTCGGACTTCTGGCACTGTCCAACGTGGGTGCACAGCCACTTGGTAGCTCTCCAGCTCGGCCACAAGCTCGTCGCGGCGCATCTTCCATGGTGAGTTCAGCAGCGACGAAGATGGAACTGGCATCGGTGCTTGGGGCTTTGTCACTCGATTGCCGTCTCGCAAAACAGCTTCGGCCAATCCAAAGTTGCTCAAAACCGGTGATCTCAAAATTCTCTGACTCTTGATGTTGAACCTCACCTTGCCTCCATGCTCCAACATGATGAAAAAGTTGCAGACCCTCAGAATGGCATGGAATCGCTTCAGTTGTTCTGACATCACCCAACTGCAGCATCAAATCTTCTCGAAGCGGTGAATTTGTAGTCTTCCATGCACATGGGTCAAAAGGATGTTTTCGTGGAACGACATGAACTCGAATCAGGCTGTCTTCTGTTTCAATCCAAAAATCCCTTGACTGATTGGCCGTTTTCCACCAAGTAAAGAAGGACACCTTCGACAAAGTTTCTGCTTTCAAAACGTTCTCAATCTCGATAGAAATCTTCTTTGGAAAAAACAGATGTTTGAAGTGACTCGACATTGAACTTGATCCCTCCACTGCAGCACGCGCCATGTATGCTCGATGCGCCTCAGCATCCAAGATCGGCAGGCAAACTTCGGAATCCACAGACCACGTGCCAGACACATATGAGGTGTCATTTGGAAAATCGGAAACATCAAAAGCCGGGTGACCAGTAGGCGACACTTTGAGGCCTACTCCAAAAAGTCCGAAGGCTTTCAAGTCAGCACATTGGCCATCTATGTGATAGGTCATTCCAAGCTTGCCCAAAACAGCCCTACTGAAAAGAAGCGGCACATCACACTGAACAATGGCGATCTTCGCCTTGAATGGTTGCTTTCCTACTGCAAACTGTGCCCAAACAGAGAAATGGGATTCGTGCACACGTGATGCACCGAACCTGAATTTGTCAGCTTCTTCTACCAGCTCTACTTCCCATCCCATGTTGTCGGCCACATTGCAATAGCTCTCAAACCAAGCATGTCCCGCTACGGCCTTTGTGCATGCCGTATCCGTGATGGCCAACATGGCCTTCCGGCCAGATGTCTCGTGCTCGAGGAGGGTCTCCTTGGGCTCAGAGTTCATCGCGATGTCATACACAACCTCACAGTTGCCAGCCGTCCCACTCACCATATAGCACATCTGCACGGTGTGACATGCTTGCACATCTTTTGAGCCCTGGCCGGCACTGCTGCTGCTTTGCGCCATGGTGCACCCCCTCAGAGGACATTCTGGATCACGATGCCAATGTCCCCGACGCTTGCATGCTGCACAAAAGCTTTTTGCCTTTGCCACCTTCAGTCTTTCCTCGCTCCGTTTCTTCAGCTCAGCGGGATCAACACCCCTGCCTTTCATGGCCTCTCTGTATCTTGACTTTGCGTCCTGAAAGGCAATGAAGGCACTGTGGTAGTGCTCGGCCACGTCCTCCGCCACCAGCTCCGAGTCTGAGGGCTCTTCCTCCAGGTGATCCATGTCTTCACCTGAGGAGGCCTCAGCATGGCTAGTGACATGTACTGTCTTTGCCGTGCTTGGGTTGCTAGTTGCCGTAGAGCTCCACCTTGGTCAATTTCGATCCCAAGTCCTCTTTGACCCACGATCATGCAAGATCGCGGCTTGCTGCAGCAGCTTCACATCGTACTTGTTCTGCACGCTCGATAAGAGCGAGAGTTCTTCGCCCTCGCTGATCTTCAGCTTGTCAAGGTACAGCCATGCTTTGACAACTGCCGGCAAGTCGCATTCCAATTCTCTCAGATGCAACATCAGCCTCTCGAACTCCACGTTGAAGTCTCGGACGCTCTGTTCAGGCTTTTTGCGGCATCGCCTGAACAGATCACCCATGACTGATGAGATCTTGGCGACCTCCATCTCCATGAACCTGACCCTGATCCAATTTTGGAAATAGTCTATGCCGCCCTCATCAGCTAGTCGGTCCACGTCCAGCTCCTCCGCGAAGATCCAGGCTTTGCCTGTGAGGTGTGTGTACAATGCTACCGGTCTTTCACGCTCCGGCATCCTTGTACACTTCAACCATGCAGTCACCTTTCGAAGATAACTTCTTGCGCTCTTTCCAAGTTCAGCTTCTGAACCTTCTCCACTAAACTCGGGGATGACCAGCTTCTCCCCAGTTCTGCCACCATGTCGGCCACCTTCTTCTCCTGCGGCTGCTTCACCACGGGTGCTACCTGTGCTTGAACTCACAGGGCCCTGCCATTTGCCATCTTGGACAAGTGTGGTTTCGTCTACATACGACATGTTGCTACTTCTGCGTCTCTGCCATCCATCATCATCCCATGTTTGACTATGGCTATTCCACCCATCATTGTGCTCATGCCACCAGCTCCAACCATGACCCTTCCAGCCATCTTGAGATCCCCACCAGTCTTCTTGCCACCTTTGCTCTCCACTTCCTGTGCCACCCTCGTCGGTCTCATTCACATAGCCCTCCGTGCCGTCGTCCTCGGCGTCGCCTGAAGGAGCGCTCCCATCAGCGCTGCCCGAAGCGCTCGCCGGTTCTTGACGGCGACGTTGGCGGTTAGAGTTGCCTTTGCCCCTCGCCCGCCACTGTGCCATAGAGCTCTTCAAAAAGAGATCGCCGCCTTATACCCAAACAGGTGGTAGCAGCAGCTGGTGCAAGGAGATCTCGAAGCTCCAAAAGTCCTGGAAGACCAGCTCCGCCTTACCAATGTTGCCGTAGGAGAAATGCACAGCACGCGCAGACCATTTTGCGCAAACATACAACTCATGTGCCTGTACGGGCGGTTCGTGCCAACATGGCCACCGCAGTTCCTGAAATGATGTGCACATGCCAAATGAGTACCTGTGCAGGAAAAGATGCAGTTGCATTCACAGGGAGGAAGCACCAAAGACCCAGCGCCGTGGTTTTGCAATCTGAAGACCATATCTTCTGGTTGATTACAGGGGTTCACACCTTCTAGCTCCTCCCTTTCTGGGTCTTGGCAAGTGTCGAGCGAGTGCAAGGGCGCCGTGACCAGAAACCAGGAAAAGTGGAAGAGCCACAGGCGAAATGCCAGCAAGACGCTTGCAAGTAGAAGGGCCAAATTGATTTGCAGGCCATGGAAAGTTTGCAACTCCCTTCCTGAGGAACCAACTGCACTGTCTGCACCTCTGCCAAGTGTCCATGGGTGGACAATCACTTCCTAGCAGGTCCTAGCAAGAACAAACTGCTCATATTCCCACAAGAAGTAGACGACCCGTATGATGCTACCAGGCATCGATTGGGCGATATGAGCTGACACAGCAGAAGGACCAGTTGAAGCAACCACAGCTGGGAGCCAACCAACAGCAGCCACACGGCACTGGAAATCTCCTGATCCCACCTGGCCAGTTGGCAGGTGATTCATGGCATCTCCACAAGGCCATCCCCTGAACTCGCCAAGTGGCAGCCAACTTGCCAGGAAGAAGGGGGAGTACAGGTACAGGCCCAAGAACAGCAGCAATGACCTGAGAAAAGGCGATTCAGCCCTTTGTGGTTGTGGGTGTTTAGTAGGCCATTAAGAAACCCTCATTGGGTGGGTTCCTTATGGCTGGGAGCTTTTCGGTCACAGCATCCCGTTTTGCTCGTCACGGTGCAGGTGCAAAGCTGCGTTAGGATACAGAACACGTCTGGTCTTTTTGTTGGGTACAGCTCAAAATGATCAACCCAATGGGTAGTTCAACATCGAAAATGACTTTGCAGGTCCATTGGTTGCCAATTTGTTCAGGCATAACGGCATAGCCATACATATTCCTTCAAGAGCATTAAAACCTATATTTCTTCAAATTGAGGAACCCAGGAGCGTAGGCCTGCAAGACTCTACCAAAGTGTGGATGTTACCTGTGAAGAAATCGCAGAAGATCACCACAACATCATTACGATCCATTCCCATCTCAACATCCACCGCCTGTTCCTGTGATCCAATGATCCAACCGGACGCTTCGCTAGCTGAGAGCCGCAGCGCCAAGCCGCCAAGCTACACTCCCAAGACACCGCAGCGTAAGCTGAAATGGAACAGGATCTCCAGTAGAATGTAAGTGCCTTGGCGCGCAGCAATGGATTCCCCGGAGATCATCTTGGAGATCTGGCACCGCAAATCCCAGTCGTATTTTTTCTGTAGATCTCGACCATTTGGGAAAAAAGGATTGAAATGTTGAAATATGTGGCCAAGACCCTTGGAACAAGTATGAATCCCAAGCTTTGAACGTGTGATCTGTGTTGTTTTTGAAATGAAGTTCCCTGTGGCAACCAAAGCTATGACAAACCCATTTGGGTTTGGTGTCTAATAACCCCTGTATGGCGTTGGGTGTTACAGTTTTACCACATTAATACCCATATCCCATCATCCGAGCATATCAACTGGTAGTTTACCAATAACAAACCAATCAGAAACATTTTATATATATATAATATTATATATATATATACACATGGTCTTCTCAAAAAAGATATCTGATATCTACATATTTAAAAATAGAGTAGCCCAAAATCTATGATCATCCATCTCGCTCATTACAAATTGCCATGTTCCCCGGCCTGCACCGGGACCGCGTCCAGCGCCTTCCGCCCCGAAGCGCTTCATGGCCGCACAGATGTGGCCGTCTTCACCTGAGATCCAGAACTGGGCCGCTCAGTTTGGCACTTTGGACCTTCCAAAGTCGTAGATCTAGCTATCCATCCCATCCCATCCCATCCATCTATATACATATTATCTGTGTATGTGTACACCTATATGACTATATGATGCATCTATCCCAGCCAGACGTCACCGGGCCGCTGAGTGCCAGCAACAGGCCGCGATGTGCCTGGAGCGTCTTGGGATGAGACGCTCCAAGTTGCTTCTTGATGGTTTCAAACCTCAACCGGCAGAGAATGGCCAGTCGACGTATACCCAATCCTGGTGGTTGCATCTCTCCTGAATTACCTCCTCCCTGGATCATCGTATGCGAAAAATCAGGGTTACAAACACTAGCCGTGTGCACGAAGCCTAAAATGTGAAAGCTTGGTGAGAGGGTGTACAGTGTACTGAACCACTTTGAACCTACTCGAACATCTTTAGACCTATCTTGGGACAATGCATGTGCATGTGAACAACAGTTAGGAAACAATTTTAAGTTTGTAGGAACCGATCTCTGAACTATAGAACCCATAGGAACCATCATTTTATTGGATGTTTTTAGAGTTTGAGGGCAACGATCTAGTGGTGGAAAGAGTTGAGCCATGCTCATCTATGAAAGTTGACGGCCATGCATCACAAGGTCCCGAGCCGCTCAGTCTTGGTGCAGCAGTTGGACCATCTCCCAAGTGACTTTCAGTTCCCAAAATTCGCGAGAAAACACAGTAATATTACTAATATTCCAATAAAATCCACTCAGATGTCCCTTATGATCCTGCAATCCCCAGGACGAGAAACAGATCTTCAAACTCCTCCTTGGCCTCCGTTCGATTTCCCAGCGACAACTTTGTCTCAGCCAGCAGCATCTTGCAGTGCATGGTGTCCGGGTGCTTGTCGCCCAGCTGAGTCTGGAAACCTCAAACGGAAACCACGAATGCTGCCGGTTCTGTGAGTCGGAACCGTTGAAACAGGGGCTTCTTAGTCATCAAAAATATGCCGTCAAGTGCCGTATTTGCCATTGAGAAGGTGAGAACCCAGAGATTGTGAAGAAGCCTAACAAGATCCATTGCTTTTTTGAATCTCTCCAAGTGGAATACCCCCAAAATTGCCATAGTTCAATCACCTTTGTTGGACTTTTGGGGTATCCAATCTTTGGTCAAATCCGTTCTGCCACGCAGCGGTTCAGCGCATCTGTGTAGAGCTGCTCCGCTTCCTCTGGGCTGGTGAAGGAGGCGAAATCCAGCAGCGCAGCCAGGGTTTTGGGATGATCCACACCATACTTCCGCTGCGTCTTCCTTAGCGCTCTCAGCTGATGAAGACCCAAAAAAACTGGAAAGTCGCGAAGTTGGGGTATGAAAATGTCCAAAATGTATGGTTGGGGTATCAAAATGGTAGAAATGCTGAAAATGACCAGCCCATCTCATCTGCAGGATTTTGAGTCTTGACATCGATTTTTAACAACATATGGTGCCCAAAAATCTAATGGCCTACCATTAGAGTGTCGTTATCAAAATTGCTATAACTTGGGTTCAAAGATATGTTTTGAGACAACCCGAAAAACCGTATCAAGTTGGTGACAGATCAACCTTATATCTTCATTCCTTATATCTTCACTCACTTCATATATTCCCAAATATATCCCGTTTATACTCCCATTTGTAGTGACCACCCGAAAAGTGGGAAACCTGGAAATAATCATCCTGGTTTCATACTTTCCGGCATCTTCTTGGGGCGTTGCTGTGTATGTACATGTATTCTATGTATGTTATGGTATGGTATGGCAATGTTATGCCATGCAATACAATGCAATGCGATGTAACTAATGTAATATAATATGTACATACATACACATATACTATATATGCTATATATGCTATATATATGGTGCCCCTACATCGTAACGTTTTTTCTGCCGAGCTCAGGTGAGCATCCGAAAGGCTTGCCGCAAGAACTCCTGCGCTTCCACTCGCTTGTGCTGCAGCCGAAAGATGTTCCCTAAACCTCGGTCGGTTGCGGAATGAATATCATATGTATACTATGTGTCTCTGTCTATGTATACTATGTGATAACTATATATGATATACATATATATATATATGTACATATATGTAGATGATATATGTGTATACAATTATATACATGTGGTGTACATCGATGTGTGTATACGAACAAATACCCACATCACAGGGCTGATTCTCATCACCAGCAGGAGTCAACTGGGTCTCTACGATACAGTAAGTCCTTGTTGTTGGTTCATCAATGTCAACGGCTTACTGGTGAACATGTTCAAATGCCCCAAGCATTTTCGTGCTTTTGATGTTTCTGGTTCATGGTAGGCCGCAAAAGAAACAAAACAAACTTGATAGGTAAGATGATGATAAGGCCCTATTTTGGGGGTTCCTAAAGTTGTGGTACCCCAAAGCCATTTGTTTCTCATTCTTGCGGATGATTTTGGTGCCACCCCAGTGAGATGGGTGTATACACCAACTGGATTAACTGGCGCTGTTTATGGAAAAAAAACAACAGGTTTGTATTGCTGCGGTATATCTCATTTGGGTTCTACCATATACAACTGGTTTATAACATCCTGTATGGGTTTGTCTGAAAATTGGATGTTGCGCCCCAAAATCTAGTGTTCCCTATTGAAATTGCCATATATTTGATGGGTCACTCCCCAGCAGACACACCCAAATATCATCTCAACTTGTTTTATATCCCAGAGGATATTCCCATGGGATATTCCCATTATCCTCATCAATATATGTCATCGGGATGGTAAGTCCCCATTACCACATGTAATGGTCATCCCAACGATAAACAAAGATATTACATCCTACTTGGGTTGTCTGCATCCTCAAAAAAAAAGCGGGGTATTAATATCCCACCAATTGTCTTATAATCATTTATAATCCAGATATTACCCACAGAGTCGATCCAGAAAATATCCCCACCCACAAATGGTTGATTCATCCGTACCATTAAATAATGTTTATGAATGTTTATTACATCCCATAATTCATATGGTTGATAACCACTATCTTATCCCACTTGGGTTCTTACACCCCATCTATTCCATGGGGTTTATAACCTGGTTCTTAGCCACAGAACCAACGGGGACATCCCCTAGACATGTCCAAGGCGCTCCCTAAGGCGTGAACGGCATCCCCATCGTCCTCCCCGAACTCGTCGATGTTCTTCGTCAAAACCATTGACATATAGGCCTGGACGGCTAAGGGACGTTTTAACAAAGACTGGGGAAAAAAACCGGGGGAAACGTTCGTAGGCTCAACAGGTTCTTTGAAAAAAGTCCCAGAATCAGGAAAAATCAAGAATGGGGAAAAATAGAAAGCATCAAAAAGATTGAAAGTTCTTCGGTTCTTAGACTTCGCTTAAAATGTTGAAGAATGTTTGACGCAAAAAAAAAAAACACCTGGCACGTGTGGCCAAAGCTGTGGCCGACGCGGACGCATGAATGAGTGGTGGGGCTTAATATTGGAGATGCTTAATATTAGGGAGTAAATCCATGTTTTTTCAAATAGTTAATAATGGTCAATAGTTAAACAATTGTAAATAATGGTGATTTTCCACCAGTATGGATGGTTATTTTGGAGCTACCACACGGGCAATTGAGATGTGAACTATCAATGGTTGGGCTACAAAGTGGCAAATATAAACAGCCAAAAACACTGGGATATTTTGAAAACATAACAGGATTGGGGACAACATAAATATCTGTGATTGGGCAACACCAGCTTCCGTGATTTAGAAACATGAATCTTCATCCCTCACATGCCTCTGCAGGTCCAAAGTCTCCCTGCAACGCCAGCGCTTCTGCGAGGCCGTGCATGGCGCGA